GTTTATCCTGTATATTAAACAAAGACATCTATCGTATAGGTCGCGGACTAAGCGCACGGTGTATACGTAGCCAGTGTTCGGACACTTACACAAAATTTATTATTATTAATCTCAAATGCTTTTTTTATTGCAGTATTATAATTTAATTGCATTTAAAGATTACAATTAAATTATAATATTACGTTTTAAAAAAAGCATTTGAGACTAATATTAACTTAAATAAATAAAGTGTTATGTAAATGGACATAGGTTATGTCCGGACATAGGTATATGTCCAGTCACTAGGATCGGACAGTACCTATGTCCGGACAGTTACACAAAACTTTATTTATTTATATTAATATTAATCTCACATGCTTTTTTTACCTTAAAGATCAATTTGAATTAGTTATCTTTTGTCATTAAACATCTATTTATATTATTATTTTCCGTCAGCATATTAATTTTCCAATTGTGGTCGAACACTGGGACAATTACGTCTCAGTGTCCAACCGGCTTGTCCGGCCACTGGTACATTGACACATTGACGTTTACACCGTGCGCTTAGTCCGCGATCTATACGACAGGTGTCTTTGTTTAATATACAGGATAAACAAAGACATCTATTGTATAGACCGCGGCCTAAATGCACGGTGTAAACTTAGCCATTCTATTATTTATTTAAATATTTTAATTAATAACTGTTATAAGTGGGTTCAAATAATTTTTCCTTGTTTAAGGGAGTCTTGAGTTTTCAAATGAATACAAATATTTATATTAAAATCTTTTTAATATTATAAATTGTATTATTTATGAGAACCTAATGCTTAAACGTCCGGCTACTGGGACATTTACCTTAAAGTATATCGTTACAGTCAGCTGATTGACGGAGTGCGCGCTGCGCTCCATAAGGAGGTTGGGGCTGGAGGTGGCGGCCCACAAAACCGAGGCCATATTCTTTCACGACGGGTCTCGGAGGCGGCCACCCCCAGCCGCGGTTAGAATGGGTCAGGCCACGGTCGAGGTGGGGCCCAGGTTGAAGTACCTAGGCCTCACCTTGGACGGCGCCTGGGAGTTCGGTGGTCCCTTCGACCAGTTGGCTCCCAGGCTCCACAGGCAGGCGGACGCCCTGGCTGGCATAATGCCGAACCTCGGCGGTCCTCGGGGGGCGGTACGCAAGATGTATCCGCACGCCGTCCTTTCGGGGCTCCTCTACGGGGCCCCCGTCTGGGCGGGGAAGGCGGTGCGCAGCCGTCACATCAAGCGCGCCATGTACGGCATGCAACGACGGCTGTGCATCCGCATCGCCCGAGCGTACAGGACGGTGTCGCACACCTCCGCCACAGTGTTGGCCACCCGCCGACCTCCTAGCCTTGGGGCGGGAGGAGGTCTACCGAATGGTGGCCGCCTCCCGCCTCGCGGGTACACCTGTCACCGGGCGAATGGTGGATGCCGGGAGGTCGGTCGCCAGAATCCGGGTCATCGACAAGTGATCGCGCCGACTGCGCGAGAACCCGGGGATGGCGACCAAGATGGTCATCGAGGCCATAGGGCCTCGCCTGCCGGAGTGGATCGGCAGAAGGTGGGGTAGCCTGACCTACAGGCTGACACAGGTGCTCACCGGGCACGGGTGCTTCGGTGAGTACCTGTGTCGAATAGGAAGGGAGCGTAACGCGCAGTGCCACCACTGCGACGGCGACTTGGACACTGCGCAGCACACCCTCGAGGTACGCCCCGCCTGGGAGGCGGAGCGCGGTGACCTCGTCGCCGTCATCGGGGAGGATCTCTCGCTCCCCGGCATCGTTGGCGCGATGCTGGGGAGCGAGGAGAAGTGGCGTGCGGTCTCCTTCTTCTGTGAGCGAGTAATGCTCGCGAAGGAGGAGACCGAGCGGCAAAGAGAGGGCGAAAGAGACCGAGCCGCGGGATGCGTGGGCGATCGTCCGCGCGCGCGCCGCGGCCGGAGACCGATGGCGGCCGGGCGACCACGCGGAGACCCGGGCCGC